GAGACCATCTCAAGAACAGATATGATGCATTAGACATTATTACTGAAAACCAGGATAGCTGTAGGATGACATCAAGATCACCATATAGGTAAAAAGCAAAAGGCCACTAAAATTAAAAGAGCTGAACGACAAATTTCAAAGAGCAGCTTGAGAAGACAAAGTCAAATTTTATAATGAAATGTATGAAGACCTGGAATTAGAAAACCAAAAGGAAAGAACACGCTCAGCATTTCTGAAGCTGAAAGAATTGAAGAAAAAAATTCAAGCCTCGGATTGCAATATTGAAGGATTCTATGGACAAAATATTGAATGATGCTGAAAGCATCAAAATACGATGTATGGAATACTCAGAATCACTGTGCCAAAAAGGAATTGTCGATGTTCAGCCATTTCAAGAGGTAGCGAACGATCAAGAATTCAGTAGAGAAGGAAGAAGTTTGAGTTGCAAGAAGTCTAAGGATCTGTGAAAAACAAAGTTCCTGGAAATTGACAGAATACAAATTGAAATCTTTCAACACATTGATGAAGCACTGGAGGCACTCACTCATCTATGCCAAGATATTTGGAAGATGAACTATCTTGCCAACTGATTGGAAGGGAACTATTTTTGTGCCCGTTCCAATGAGAGATGACCCAGTGGAATGTAGAAATCACTGAACAGTCTCAATATCATATGCATACAAAGCTGTACTAAGGATGATTGAAAATTGGCTGCAACAGTACATCTACAGGGAGCAGCCAGAAATTCAAGCCAGATTCAGAAAAGCATCTATTCTTTCACCATCCTTATTCAGTCTGTATGCTGAGCAAATAATCCGAGCTGCTAGATGATATGAAGAGAAACAATAGCATCAAGTTTGGAGGAAGACTCTTTAGCAACCTGTGATATGCAGATGATACATCCTAACTTGCTGGAAGTGAAGAGGACTTAAAATACTGATAAGGATCAAAGATCACTGATTGCAGTATGAATTGCATTATGGTTAATTGGTGTTGTTGTTAAGTGCTCTTGAGTCAATTCCGACTCATAGCAACCCTATGAGTTGAAATAAACCCTCTCTTAGGAAACCCACCCTATGAGAGGGTTTCCTAAGAGTGGCTGGTGGGTTTGAACCACCAACCTTATAGTTAGCATGTCATTGTTTATCTTACATCAGCACATCAGGACTTTACCTCAAAGTAAAGAAAACAAAAGTCCTCACAACTGGACCCATAAAGAATATCGTGGAGAGAAGATTGAATTAGTCAAACATTTCATTTTGCTTGGATCCACAATCAACACTTATGGAAGCAGCAGTCAAGAAAATCTACTGCACAAGACCTCTTTGAAAGTGTGCAAGAGCAAAGATAGCAGTTTAAGTACTAATGTGCACCTGATCCAAACCATGGTATTTTCAGTTACCTCACATACATGTGAAAGTTGGACAGTCATAGACGAATTGTTGCATTTGAGTTGTGGTGTTGGAAGAGAATATTAAAAGTACCATGGACTTCCAGAAGAACAAACAAATCTGGGTTGGAAGAAGTACATACAGAATGCTCCTTAGAAGCCAGGGTAGTCAGACTTCGTCTCTCATACTTTAGTCGTTCTACCAGGAGGGGCCATTCCCAGGAGGAGGACATGATGCTTGGTCAAGTGGAAGGTCATGGAAAAAGAGGAGGCTTCCTAATGAGATGGATTGGCACAGTGGCTGCAGCAATGGGCTCAAGTGTGCCAACACTTGTGAGGATGGTGCAGGACTGGGTAGTGTTTTGTTCTGTTGTGCATAAGATTGCTATGAGTCAAAGCTGGCTTGTTTGCACCTAACAATGATAACAACCACAACCACACCAGGTACATTGCCAGTTCTTTCCTTGCTCCTACTTGCAGCAGTGTTTTTCAGCTTTCTTCCTACCATTATACACATGGTCAACACATGCTTCTTGTTGTTACATGCCTTTCAGTTAATTCTGACTCCTAGCGACCCTGAGGAGGTTCCTGAGGAGCGGCTGATGGGATTGAATCACCAACCTTGCAGTTCATACCAACCTTGTGGTCCAGTGCTTATCCAACAATGTCACACCAGGACTCCAACAGACTCTTTTGCATCTTTAATTTTGATAAAAGCTTAAAGAGTTTTTCAGGAAATCAAACCAAATAGCCCCCAAAATGTGTGTACTTGTGCATGTGTATGTGTGTGTGTGCATTTTAAGAAGAGTTGTTGTTGTTGCTAAGTGCTGTTGAGTCGGTTCCAACTGTTTTAAAAATATATCTCAGTGATATGTGAATAACAAAATACTCTGTTTTTAGCAAAGATACACTATTAGTTTCATCCATTCTTGCCCTTTTGCTGATGTAACAACTTATCTGTATGTACAATAAAAGAGAATGTGGAAAATGTTATTGAGTGAATGAAAGATTTAAAAACACCACATGGCTGTTTTTCATCACCCCAGCTGTGAGTGGCTGCTTGTTAGTATAAACTGCTTCTGGGTAGCTCATAAGTTCTGAAATTAACGAACAAGATTGTGGAATTCTTTGAGACCAGGCTGTAAGCATACTACTTTCCCTCTTGTCATATCATGATGCAGTGATGCTATTACCGGTGACGCTATTATTGTCACCCTTTTTAATTGGCAAAAAGCACAATGTCTGCAAATGTTGATACTTTAACTATTTTTGCTAGGAAATCACTTGTAACATATCAGAGTCTATTCCTGAGCATTATTAGGGCACTGTATGGGAATGATGAAGTTGAGACGGATGTGAATGGCCGCCGAGCACCTTGCCTAATGTTTCCGTGGTAGATTTGTCATTGAAGTGTTGGCTCTATTTGTTGGTGAAAATTTGTCTGAGTGATGATAGTGCCCTATAGAAAATTGATGGTTTTGCTATGTTGCAACCTTTGTTGTTGACCATGTGTAGTAGAGATGTACTCTTCATCTTTTT